ACAAATCTCCTGAGAAGTCATTGTTTTCTCTACATCTTTTATCATGAAGTTTGAATAGAAAAATTTTCATCCATCCAACCAGACCAATCCATTTCCAGATCATCAAGTACACAAAAATACCTAGGTGATTCCAAAATAATATCTGAAAGAACTCCTCCTCAATACCCACTTTAAGAAAAGAAAACCTGACTTACTGTATTTTCTTGTGCATAATATGAAAGATTTTGAATGAAAATTAAAGGGAAGAAATATACACAGATTTTAAAATTTTTTACTCAGCAATGAAATAAATGAAATGGCAAGAATGCAAATATACTCAGTTAGCACAATAGATAATAAAACACAAAATAGGCAAGTGTTGATAACAATTTTTTACAAAATGTAATATTTTGGAAATAATGTTTAAAATTAGAACCATTTTGCTCACAAGATAAAGTTTGTTTATATTTTGATTTTCTTGTTTTCTTATGTTTTTGCTCTTAATGAAAGCAATATTTTTTATTTTCATAATTGAGAATAATATGTAATAAAGCCATATCAAACATAAAAAATTGATAGATTAATTAACACCTTAAAATGTATTACTGGGTATGTCTACTTATCACCTTCTCTGAAATTTTGAAATTAAAATGTGTAGGAACATGTAAAGGCTAAACATCTAGTTCATTCTTTAATATCATCAAAAATGAAATATTTTAATCAAATATTTGTTCAACATTGAAATTTTAATGGATAATATGGTATGATTTTTCAAAAATAAATTTACGTAGGGCTAACTGTATTACAGGGTCATATTATACTCAAGGATGTCATTTATTAGCTGTTTTTAGCCTCAGAAACACTGAATTGTATTATACACAAGAAAATACGGTGACCACTTTTTTTTGATATTCAGCCTCCTTAAATTCTTCACTCCCCAATGAAGCAATTGTTTTTTGTTTTGTTTTTTTCAACCCTTTGGATTTAATTGATAGGGAGCATTGTTGTTGAGTGAGGAAATTGGAGGAGGCTACATATGTGTTGGGAAATACTTTTCTATTATGTAATACTCAGATTAATAGAAAATACAAAGCTAGATTGTTCTGGTCAGTATATTAATGAACATTTGTTTTTATTTTTTTCCTCCTTAAGGGAGGACATTTTCCCCTTCACACAATGCACCTGATATGATGGTTGAAGAATGGTAGAGGATAGCAGGAGGAGTCCAGTACTTACTGGAGTGGTACAGGGAACTGACCATTTTTCCAGCATCTATAGCAATGGATTGTATGTACAAGTTCCCCTTGAGGTCTGGGTTGAGTTTAAGTCTCAATAGGTGATCAAGGCATAGGGCCTCCTTGAGAAAATAACCATTCATCATGATAGATGAAAATTCAGAGTTAGCTTTTTGATGATGGAATCTCACTAGTTTGATTTTCTAGGTATTGAATGTGATCATCCAGTTTTTTCCCTCCACTGAGCTGTTAAAGCTATGTCAGAGGAGAGATCAACTATCAAGCTCTGGCAATTTTGGAGGTGCACCCACATACTGTATCATCAGCATAGCTATTCCCAAAAGATCAGAGTATACTCTTAGGCAGATCATTTATGTAAAGTAGAAAGAGGGTTGGACTGAGAAGTGAACTTTGGGGATGCCCATGTTGATTGCTTGGGATTCAGAGAACTGGTTATTAACAACTACCTTCAGGGACCTTTGATAATTTGGAAGACTTCCAATAATTCCACATTTAGAGAGCTCTATGCCACATCTTGTTCATGGCCTTTGAAATACCTAATGAGATTGTCCTTGAGATGTATTTGTTGTCTAGTGCCTCACTGATTCACTGAGTAATGATGGAATATCAGCAGTGGACCAAACTGATTGAACTCCCTACTGCTTGTCACTCAAGAAGTTGTCTATATTGAGGTGATCAACAACCTTTTTGTTGATTATAGCTTCGAAATATTTCCTAATGACATGGAGAAGGCTGATGTGTCTATAGTGAGATGGGGATGAGTGCTCATTTGATTTATTGAAAAATGGGACCTACACTTGACACCTTTCACAGATTTGGGAAGGATTTTTCCTTCAAGCAGCGGTTAAATAATTTTGCTATGATGAGGGATAACTCAGAGTTAATATTCTTAAAGACAATCACTAGGATTTTATGTGGACCATTTGCTCTCTTAGGCTCAAGACTTTTATTGAGTTTTGAGATTTCCTTGGCTGTGATAAAAATATTACTGAGATTGTGCTCAGTGAAACAAAGGAAGTTGGGAAGGGGATGGCTTTTATCATTTAATATTGAATTAGAGGTAAAGATTATGGCAAAGAGCTTTGCTTCATCTGACAAAGATGAGATAACCACAGGGCCATTTATAATAGTATGTTTTGTCTCTATTCAGAATTTGGTTGGAAATCTTCTTGAATACCAGGGATCAAATTTGTTTGTTTTTGATCTGGACTGCTTGTGCATAATTGCACTTTGCATTTTCTAGAATTCTCTTACAATTTATTGTGAGCAGTTCTGAATTGTTCATGTGAGGTATGTAGTAGTAGTGGTAATGATGAACTATGGCTGCAGCACACTCAGGGGGTGAACCAGGTCTGGCTGTCCAGCTTTTGCTGGGATTTTTTCTGGGGGTAATAACCCTTTCCATTTCAGAAAGGGTCAATTCCGAGATAAGAGTGACAGTTTTCAAGGCAAAATGGCTTATTGCTTTCCAGTCAACTTTGATCTTAAAAAAATGTAAATGCAATGTCACTTGTCATTTTCTGTCCTTATTGGCCTCTCTCCTTAATAATTTTTTCTCAGATTCTTTCACACTTAGTAAACCCTTGTCTTAATGGCTTTATCACCTTGCTTGGGATGAAATGATTAAAAAAAATGAGTAAATTTACAGAAAAACTCATTTTTAAAAAAAATTTTTTTTAGGTCTATAATAAATCACATACTTAAAATGTATTCCTGGTTCCTAAACCTTTTAAAGGCTCCTGACCAAAAAAAAAAAAAAAAAAGGAATTTTGGTGAGTAGGGAGGTATATATTATAAAAAGCCTGCTATTAGCGCAATTAAAATAAGAAACAAAGGAAAATATTGGTAATCATACCAAAAGGCAGCTCTGTTTTTGTAGTGTTCATCCATCTTGAATGTGTTACAACTGTCCTTAGCAGAAGAAGAGGAAAGAATTGACTGATGGAATTCGTCTCATTAAAATTATCTCATTCTTTTAATCTCGAACATTTGTTTTTCCACTTTATTCTTTCACTCTTTTATCAGACCAACAACATCTTTACCAAAATAGAATGGTTAACATGGAAATGATGTTAAACTCTTAGACTCTTGCTCCCACATATAAATTACTTTTTTTCTTTTGTTATACTGAATTGAGGCATTCACATTTGTTTTACTTATTGCTTTCAAAAATGATAGAAATGTGTTATTTTTTTTTTCCAGCTATGGAGTTGAAATAAGACAATATAACCTTTAGAAATGCTTTATTCACTTACAAAGAGAGGTCAATAAACTGGACAGTTTATAAGAACTAAATGTAAATATATTGTAAGGAGGTGATGGGGGTACACAAACATGAGATTCATGATTACTGGAATTAAGAAATATAACTTAATAGTTTAAGTATAATTCTGTTCAATTCATTGTGCTTCATTGATTTATAACTCACTTTGGAAAAAGTAATATTCAACATAAAATGCAAAAAATTTCTTTTTCTTAAAATCATATTTTAAATTGTCCTGGTTGTTAAACTAAATAAAATCATATGAAAATTTTTTTTTCACAGTTGAATCTTCAACTTAAGAGATTGAAGTTTTGATTGAAATTATCTTTTAATCATCATCACTGTTTTGACTTGAAGGCACACTGCAAATCAGTGTGATTTCTTATCTTCAGCATGGCTACCTGTTTTCGAGCATGCTTATCTGCTCGGGACCATTTCAGTTTTCTTCTTCACAGAGCCAAACTGTGGTTTATATTGTAACTAAGTGAACCTTAGTTACAGTTGAAGTATGCTGTATCCTAGGAAAGGTTACTGAATAGAATAATCACACGAAGGTTGGTAATGAATGATAATACTTAGTACAAGAACAATACATATAAGATTCACCAGCAGCATGCAGAAGAAGTAGTCAACTGTTAGAAGTGAGTCAAGTGAATTCCACAATGAGTCTTCAACTGCAGGATACCTAGTAACCGTCCCACACAATCAGATGTGACACAAGGCCGAATTTAATGTGGGTATCCAAGCCTGTAGGCACAGCAAAAAATTCCCTGTAGACCCCATATAAAACAGGGTCGGGTAGTTGTTTCCCGAGATGAGACTCTGCCCTTCAGCATAGCTTTGTCTGAGGATCCTCTCTACCTGGAGGCAGAGAGTTTGACTAGCACAGCTGGAGATGAATCTCCAACTGCAGACCAACATACAGTATTTACTACTGTATTTATGTGAATGGAGACATACCCATTATCATCCATAGGTATGCTACAACAAAGTACATGGTGAAACCAGGGTTACATATGTTTTCTCCTAGACTGGTTGCCAACCATGGTTAGAGAGCCCAGTCTGCCCTGCTATTTAACTCTTAGCTGAGTGGAGAAGATGGCTTTAAACATTTCCCAAGGGTATTTGTGTGAAAGTGAACATAACAAATTTTATCAGAATTTGAACTCAGCATGCTGATTTCTTATTCTGAGATGCTAACCATTACAATTACACAACTAATATATCTTTTAATAACAAAACTATGAGATCTTGATATGACTCTGTTGACATTAGTACATCAGTATTTCTATCTTGTCACTTTTTTTCCCACCTCAGTATGTCTTTATTAATATTTTATAAATTTGGGTTGAGTCAACCTATCTTGACTTTTTGGGATAATTTTCTGTCCCTCATGTTCAAACATGTAAATTTATGACATTCATGGAGATAAGAAAATTCTATCAAGAGTTATTCTTGATAACTGAACTTTCCTTACACAAGCATATTTCTTATTTTTGTAGATAATAGTTGACATGACATTTGGATCTGGTGGTCATACGAAAGAAATCCTAAGAAGATGTCCTTTGCTCAAACAACTAATTGCCTTAGATCGTGATCCAGTTGCCTATCAACTGTCAGTTGATCTATCCAAGCAATTCAGGTAAGATTTTCTAAGTTTTTGTCATATCACACACACCCCTCAAATAATAGACTTCATAACTCTCTGCTCATTTTCCATATATTACTGAAATATATGTTTAATCCTATATACTTATTCATTTATATATGTTTGGTTATTACATTTTTGTCTATATTTTCTTTTTCCTCCAGTTGCTATTTGAGATCATCCATATCTCATTTTTGTGACAAAAATATATGTATTGTCCTACTCTTGTTCAGTATTTATATATTCTTGTCTAGAATAGACAAAATCAAATCTGATTTCTTTGTTGCTATACTCACTCCTGATAAAAAGAAACCTGAACAAAATAGGTACATAGATCAAAACCTCCTTATTATATGAATCTCTCACTTAACTCTTATCAAGATTTGTCTTATTCTTTTCCAGTTGCTTTACAGTTTTACTGTAATGGCTAACATAAAACAATACAAATGGGGAGAGTATAAATTACTGAAATTGGAATGTTTCTTTGTTAGCTTCCTACAAGATTACAAAACTAATTCCTTGTCTTTTAAGGGTGAATTTTAGAATAATTGTTTTACAAAATTTCCTGATTTTTAAAATTTTTTTTTTAAAATTTTGTTTTATTATAAATTGCTGCTCAAACTAAAATGTTAGCCTCCATATGTTTTATAATGCCAATGTGGTTGATTCAATTCACCATGTTATTTTTTTAAGTACATATATATGACAGAGATAATTTTTATAATAACAATGTGGTTGGTTCAGTTCACCACACCAGGTACTGTAAGTAACCTCCTATAATCTAAAATATGTTTTTGCTTTAAATAACCTGCAAAAGGATTGATAAACCATAAAAAAAATCAAATCACCAAAATAGTTCACTCACCTGACACTTTGATTTTTTTTTTTATCTTAGACTCGCTGAAGCCTAATCAAGGCAAATCGTTCATACAGTGATTTGATGTATTAGCTTCTCTTTGTTTTATGTGACTCTTCAGAACGTGGGCTCCACAACTTACTATCATTTGTACAAATTCTTCAAGCTCTCTTTCCTCATTATATGTCCCAGAAATTTCAACACTTTCTGACTTTAAGTACAAGTATCTTTTTTGTTTTCATTTTCCTTAAAACTTCCTCGTTGCTCACATGTTCTGTCCATGGTATTCTCAGCATCCTTCTGAACCATAGATATAACCATATCTCTGTTGCTTCAAGTCTACTCTTAATCAGTGATAAAATTGTCCAGCATTCACTGCCATATAGGAGGACAGATATTGCCTCACAGTTGAGCACTCTTGTTTTTTGCTTCTAATAAAGATGTATCAGCTAGAAAAATTTGACTTTTTGATAAGGTAACCAATGTGTTTTATGAAATCCTTTTGCTTAAAAAATATCTATGATTTGATAAGAATGGAGCTGTGCATCCTCCTCCCACTTTTTTACTGGAATATAAGCATTTGCTATCCTTTCTTTAATATACCTTTGTTTGTTTGAGAGACAGATTTTACACTATTCTAAATATTGGCAGTTTTATCTTCAAGAAATTTAGTACCATATTAAATTTTGTGTTGGATGCTATACAAGAATAGGAATATTACATTGGCTCAGGTTTGGACCAATATTATGTTTCACTACTGAATAAATAAGAGACTAGAGTTACATTGAAAGCTGAGTATAATAAATTCTACCTCTGTCCTATAATAGTTACATTTAACATAAGAAATATAAGAGCTATTATGAGATGGAGGTATTATCTATTAACCATAAATAATAATCTTTTTTAACTTACAGAAACTTCATATTTTGTCAGTTTAAATTTTTTAGTATCTTTGTATTTTAATGCAATGTTTTTCAACCATATTTTTATCTCACAGCACACTTGAACCTATAAGAAAACTTGAATTATGATGACTAAAAATAAAGAGTTTATTTTTTATGATTTATTTATTAGCACAAGAAAAACATTTATAATTTGTAATAAAAAAGATAAGTTAGGATCAAATATAGGTCAGAATCTGATAGAATGATAAAATAAAGAACAAATAGGAAACGTTTATCAATCTAACATGTTTCACTTTTATTAAAGCTTCATTAGAGAATGAAATATGGAGAAAAAAAGAATTTCTAGTATTTTTATTTTTGTAGTGTTTGATTTCTGTTGATCAATCATGTGCATTTGACTGTTTTAAACCAATGTTAGTATAATTTGTGACTTTCCAAATAATAATTAAAATTCTTAAACTCATATTTATTTATTTTTCTGTTTTTTATAATTTAATGAGATATCTAAGCTTGACATTTTTTTTAATATTTTCTTTACAAGGTTGAATTTTGGACAAGTATACTCTTAAATATTCTTTCAAGGATTCTAGCTATGATTGATTTTTGTTTCTTTAATATTGTTTATTGCAGAAGAGCTTTTTATCTTATTTTATTTAATATGTATACATTTATTTATTATAACAATGATATACTTGTATAATCAATTTAAAGGTGTTGTAATTTTGATATGTTCACTTATTGTGCTTTGAACTTCTTTTAAAAATAATGATATCTTAAACTTTTTCCGGCACTCCTGCAATCCTCTTTGGTTGAAAATCAGTTTTAAAGTTTCAACAAAACCAATATTAAAATACTATTATAAAAATTTGTGCTGTCATTACAGTTTTTATTACTTTATTTAGTTAAAAGAATTATATGTATAACATTGGTAGATACCTATATTATGTGTCTGTTGGAATATATCATACAAAAATTAAACAAGATTCTACTTGATTCATAGGGAATTGATGACCATTTAAGAATTCCACAAAAGGGAGGTAAATATCTTTGACTTTAAACTTCACAAAGAGCTCTACTGTAGTAGTTTATTCAGTCTATACTGGTACTTAGAAAATTACTATCATTTTAGGCTATCTCTGAAATTTGTATTCAACATATGTTTCTAATCCTGTGCACTTAGTGAATCCACAAACTGCCACTTGCAATTAATGATCTTTGCTTGTCCATCACTGAAGACTGAACAGTAAATGTTATTATAACTGCTTCAGTGATTGTCTATTAACCTGATATCTTTTTTTTTTTCATGTGAAGGTTCATGTAATACAAGGCTCAAGAGCTACTAATGTAGAGAGACTTACTGAATGTAAGATAAGGTAGAAGGAAGTGAAGATAGGGATAAGGATGATATATAGCAATTGGCTTTTCACTTGAAGTAAAGATTGTAGTGTCCATACTATGAGCACAGGTTTGTTCCACACACAGAAACAGTTCTCAAGAAAAAGTGGTTCAAGTAGAATTTTCTTATGAATGAAATACAGAGGAAATGTGAGTGATTTAATTTTGTAGATATAGCATGGAAAGTCTTAGCTATAAAGGTCTGAACTTCTAGCTTGGTTTTAGAGGTAAAGAAATTTGCAAGCCAGTTTTTTCCCCCTGTCGAGTTGTTAGAGCTTGGTCAGCAGAGGGATCAGGTGTATGGCTCTAAACATCTTGCCTCTTTGGAGGTGCTTCTGTAAACTGTGATATCATCGGCATATATATTGACTAAGTTGTGAATGTATGGTGGATAAGATTGGGGATAGAACCTTGGAAGATGTTTGCATTGATCTCATTTGCTTTGGAAAACTGGCCATTTAGAACAACCTTAATGAAATTACCACAAACATGCACACATATGGTATGATGGGTAAATTCTTGACATTTTATATTTTTAATTTTGTGCAAGTGCATTGTTTGTTTTGAATTTTTCTTTTAGGGTTAATTGGGCACTGTCTGTGAGAAAAAGACCCCCATGACACAATTCACTCAGCCAGAAATTTGGAAACTGCATGCTGTACTACTTGGTATTCATGCTGGAAGCTTCCATACAAATATTTCAGTGTTTGGGTGTCAAACTGAGGGCAGTGCTGAGGATTCAGAAAGAGTTATATGAGTCTAATAGTGATTACGAAGGTTATGTTAGCTCGGAAAACTCACTCTGATTGTTCTGTCAAGAAAAGACCTCCTGAATTTATTGGTGAGGGCCTTAGAATTCAAGTGTCTTGTGGAGGTAGTGCTGCCCTGGAGCAAGAGGCTGGCTGCTGGAAGATCCTATGTCTGGTAACAGGACTCTACACCATGCTACACAAGCAGGAGAACCCAGTCATAGATATCAGACAAAATGAGGTGTCAGTGTTATTTTCATTTTTGCGTAATTTAGATGACAATTTATCCATTGCACCATTAGTGCTGCACAAAAGTAAGTGAACCCCTAAAATAATAATAAAAAAATTTTCAAAATTTTCAAAAATTTTAATTAATATTTTTATTTCAGCTAGATAAAAAATTTTGAAAGTGGTTGTAATTCATTTGATTTTTTATTATCGGGGGAAAAAGAGACACAATGTTTTTTTAATATTATCTTAGGAATTCACTTGCTTTTGTGATGTGTGCACACACACACACACACACACACACACACACACACACATAATTTTGTGTGTGTGTGTAACACTTTTCATAGTCTGCATAAATACATGCTGAACCGAGGCAGAAATCCCGGGACATATGACTTTGATCTTCAGCAGACTTGTATATTTGGGCTACGAATCTTTTCATGTATACATCAGTTATTAAGACAACGCAGAAATTGTTCATAGATTTAACATTTGTCAGTTCTTTTGTATTCAATCATTCTCTGATTATCCTCATAAATGAAATGTTGAAATTATTTGTCAGGTAAAGACGAGATGATGAACTCAAACTGACATCATATTGACTTTTCTCTTTGTGAACATTATGCTTTGAAAATTTGACATGGAAATGACGTCATTGGAAAAATAGAGTACATCCATGAATAGAATTTTCTTTTGATTGACAATCTCCTATTGGACATAAGAATCCATATATTATGTTGATTTTCTATCGATTTTCTTTTTGACTAGTGTTATTAGTAACAAAATTTGAAGTTATTTAATTTTTTTCTAATAATCAGAATTATTTGCTAGGGTTGATGGTAGATATATATTATATCA